AAAAAAAAAAAAAAAAAAAAAAAAAAAAATCAACCAGCAAAAAGGCTAAGAAGCAAACTTAACCATCACCTTTCTCAAAAGGAAGTAGCTATTTTACTTAACACCAAGTATCAGAGTTACTCTCAGTGACTGGAGTCCTCAGGCTTTGGAGCAAAGCAACAGTTATCCTTTAATTTAATTCTCCCCTTGAATACACAACAGGTGTCACACGATGGAGGCATGAGTATAAAAAGGAAGACTGAGTGGTACATAAAATGTGGATGGAACTCAGAAACTTTTAGTATCATCTCAGCCTGTAGATTTTAATTCTGAAGCTCGCAAGCAGAAGGTCCAAAACCAATAAAAACCATTAAAACCATTTTCATCCTCCTGTGAAGTAATTAACTAATGTAATAAAGCTTATTTTTATTAAAAAAATGGAACAGAACAAAGAAGATTCTCATGTTGTGCAACCTTAAAAATGTATTCTGGATGCGTGGAAAAGTTATAGGATTAAAAAATTAAAGAAAATCTGTAAGAGAAGATTGTGATGTTTCCTTCATCTTTGTCCAGTGTAGAATCTAGTATAATAACCACAGAAATCGATTTGATTAATTAAAATGTCAACAATTACATTTGTCCAAAAATGATAATTCAAGGCAGTGAGAAGATATATTTTATATTATTACAAATGCATAATATGTGCACTAATACTTTATGCAAATAGATAAACAAAACTTAGACCTCAAAAAATGTGCAGTCATTTAATTAGACTCAACCAAGAAGATGAAAGACAATCGAAATATAAAGATACAAAAATATTTCCACTTTATCGGTAATCAAATATTGCAAATTAATGCACTTATAGACCCACTTTCTGATTTATTGCGTCCAATTGCTATTAAAAGAAAATCACTGCTGGTGGAGTTGTTGAGTGATGGGCAGAACACACACTGTTTAAAGGAGCTTAGAATCTGCACAATCCTTCTGGAAAGGAATTTGGCCAAACTTCAAAAAAGGGATTCCTTTATCCGGATCTTCCCTGTACTCTGATACTCTTGGTTCTCTTGGTGTTGGCAAAACCCTCCCCCAACCAGCCTAAATATTCTTCATACTTACCCTCTTTCTCGACTCCCAGAACTCCTGAACAAACCCCCTCATCTCAACTGCTACAAGGGCCCTTGGCTTTTTCATTTTCCAGCCTGAGAATAGAATGCATCTGAGTAAATGAGCTTATTGTGTTTAAGGAATAGGAGGGCGGAATGGCTGGAGCAGTGAGGAGAGTGGTTAGAGTTTGGGAGAAGGTGGGCTGGGAGAAGTAGGCTGGATAAGGTTCTCGTAGGACCTTGTTACGTCTGGCATAGTTGGGACTTTCCTCGAACTGAGATGTTGTAGCTCCCTGAAAAAGTCCCGTTCTCTGGACAGTGTTATTTCACCTGACTGGGAGCTAGCTGTGGGAAAGCCCTATCCCCAGAACATTTACTGAAAAAACAAAGCAAAACAGAGGGAATTGTTTAACATCATGGCTACCTGAGGTTACCAGCATCTTGTATTTTAGTCAGGGGAAAAAGACAATAAAAATATACCAATAAATAATAATATATATTTGTGATTATCTGTTGAAGCACGTCATCCCTCACTATCCTTATGTTTCAAAATTTTCTGTGCTATTTTTCATTGTTTATTCTTCCACGTGAATCTTAAAATGAGCTTCTCTAATCAAAACAAAATCTTCTTGGTATTTTGGTAGGATTATGTTGGGGGGAAAATAGTGCATATAATTTGATTAAACACAATATTACCTCATGACAAGATCCCATCACTGGTCATGTGTTGGAAGTGTAATTTAACGTAGGGAAATTGGACTTCCCTGGTGGTGCAGTGGTTAAGAATCTGCCTGCCAATGAAGGGGACACGGGTTCGATCCCTGGTCCAGGAAGACCCTACATGCCTCGGAGCAACTAAGCATGTGCACCACAACTACTGAGCCTGCGTGCCACAACTACTGAAGCCCGCGCGCCTAGAGCCCATTCGTCGCAACAAAAGAAGCCACCAGGGCTTCCCTGGTGGCGCAGTGCTTGAGAGTCCGCCTGCCGATGCAGGAGACGCGGGTTCGTGCCCCGTTTCGGGAAGATCCCACATGCCGCGGAGCGGCTGGGCCCGTGAGCCATGGCCACTGAGCCTGCGCGTCCGGAGCCTGTGCTCCGCAAATGGGAGAGGCCACAACAGGGAGAGGCCCGCATAACGCAAGGAAAAAAAAAAAAAAAAAAAAAAAAAAAAAAATAGAAGCCACCACAATGAGAAGCCTGGGCACCGCAACGAAGACCCAACACAGCCAAACATAAAATAAATTTATTTAAAAAATAGCTTAGGGAAATTTAACAACTTTATGATATTGAGTCAACCTACCCCAGATCTGGGATATCATTCCATTTGTTTGAGTATTCTTTCGTATCCCTCTTTAGCATTTAAAACATTTCTTCATGTGGTTTTTACAATTTAAAAAATACATTTCTAGGCACTATTTCCTTTGAATTGTTTTTCTGAATAGGGTCTTCCACCATTATATATTTTAACTGATTATTTTCTGTATTTATGAAAGCTGGTGATAAATTTATATTAATTTTATACTCAGTCACAAAATGGTATTCTGATGTAACAGGTAATGGCTAATTTCCTCTCCTCCTTTCCAATTTGTTAAAACTCTTAGTTATTCCTTTCCTTTATTCTTACATTGAACATGTATAAAATCGCTTTTGGAAAGCATCCATTCACTTTCACACTTGCCTTTCAGTTTCTCTATTGATTATTTTCTTTTGCTCTTTTAATATAGCAGATTAAGAGATTTCTTTTGTCCGGACGCACAAGGCTCAGCGGCCATGGCTCACGGGCCCAGCCGCTCCACGGCATGTGAGATCTTCCCGGACTGGGGCACGAACCCGTGTCCCCTGCATCGGCAGGCGGACTCTCAACCACTGCGCCACCAGGGAAGCCCTAAGAGATTTCTTAATATTAAAACTTCCTTATATTCTCTGTTCATGGTACATCATTCTTTGAATATGCTGCTCTAAATTACGTTAGCTAATATTGGGGACTTTCGCATTAATGTGGCAGGCAACCACTGCTGCAGCGTGGGTGCCAATAATCTCTGGCTGAGAGATGCATGAATAAGCAGGAAAATGTGTTCACAACGGAACCTTATGCAAGGGGCGTCCAGAGGCCGAGGGTTCTACAAGGAACTCGGAAGAAATATGAGTGGCCCAAAGCGCGGGTGGGCACGAGGTCTGCTTCTCTTCTCCGAAGCGCTCGGCCCTCCCCTCTCCAATGGCAACGGACTCTGCCCTCACCACTTAACATTAGATGTTTTGGCTTAGGCCCGTGACCCCCGCCCCTCGCCCGCATACAGCCTTAGGAAATCTAGGCCCCGCCCCTCAGATTCCTACCCCGCCTCCTTCCCCTCCTCCCGCCCCGCAAAACTCAGCCCCCAAGTGTCGCGCCTGCGCACTAGCAAATGCCAGGCCATGTAGGCGGAGCCCCGCCGCGCCAGGTACCGCCCATGGCCCCGCCCACAGCCCCGACCGCCCCGGGACCGGGCCCGCCTCCGCACACACGCACTTCCCGCCACGCCTCCTCATAGACCGAGCCCTGTGGAGCCCAGCGAAGCGAGCGAGGCGCGATGGACGGCCGAGTGCAGCTGATCAAGGCCCTCCTGGCCCTGCCCATTCGGCCCCAGACGCGTCGGTGGAGAAACCCGATCCCCTTCCCCGAGACGTTTGACGGCGACACCGACCGGCTCCCGGAGTTTATCGTGCAGACGGGCGCCTACATGCTAGTGGACGAGACCCTGTTCACCAACGATGCCCTGAAGGTGACGTTCCTCATCACCCGGATGACCGGGCCCGCCCTGCAGTGGGTGATCCCCTACATCAGGAAGCAGAGCCCCCTCCTCAGCGATTACCGGGGCTTCCTGGCCGAGATGAAGCGGGTCTTTGGATGGGTGGAGGACGAGGACTTCTAGGCCGGGAGCCCCTCGGGCCTGGGGGCGGGTGCCCGGGGGAGGGTCCGCCGCGCCAGTCGCCGCCTCCCAGATCGCCACAGGCGGCGTCCTCCCGCCGCGCCTCCCCCCTCCCTCACCTTCGGGTCGCCGCGATGTCCCCCGCGCTCGTGTCCCCTCCCGCGTAGTGCTTGCCTTTGTTCCAGGAATAGCGCTCCAGGTTCCCGCTGCTGCCGCCGCCGGGCCTGGCTCTGGAGCGGCCGCCGCCCTCTCGGGCCAGCCCGTCCCCTCCCCTGCACACTTGGACTCGGTCGTGCGCTCCAGCTGCAAGCCGGGCTCCCGTTACACACCGGACAGACCACCCTCAGCCCGGCCGCTGCCAACCGCCCGCCCTCTGCCAGACTCCCAGGCCCGCATACAGGTGCCCAGAGACCTGCGCTGCCGCTGCCGCCGCCGCCGCCACCGCCATCCACCGCATGCCGCCGACGGCCTGCAGCCTTCAGCGGTCTGGACTCGCTCGGGAGGTGTCTGAGCTGGGCACAGCCTCTGGACAATGCTTCCAACAGCTCGCCACCGCCCTGGAGGGGCTGGCCAGCCTTTCACCTTCGGCGGGACGCAGTCCCTCCCTCCTCCCAGAGACATCTTCTGCTCCTGCCAGGTGGCCGCCAGGTCCCAGGGGTGCCTGGCAGCCAAATCGAGTCACTCATTGTCTCCTGTGGACCTGTTCGTTTCGCCCAGAATCCAGTTCTCTTCTGGATGTGCAGCTGTCTCTCTGACGTGTGCCTTTTGTTCCACACAGTAACCCCTGCACACCGCTCTTGTTAATCTAGGTAGAAAGCAGGTTGAGAGCCTGCAGGACAATAAAATTATAACTTTCTTCTATGGGCAGAAACCAAAAGCTGTTGCTCCTTTACCGTTTCTCTTTGTGCCAACCCGTTAAGTCACCGGCGCTGCTACTTCATCTATGGCTGGGAAAGTTCAGTTTCCTAGTAGAGTCAGATTCACAAAATGGACTTATAGGATGACAGTTGACTCTGCCTCATTTCTAATTTGGGTGATTTTTCCAGAACAGGGCAAAGAAGAATCAATCACTACAGTGGTTTTTCACTTCATTGACTCTCTCTGTTCATTTGAACAGGTAAACTTGTGCACTGGTTTGTAGGGCTGTACGTGGAGCTGGAGGTACATTACCCTCATTTTGTATCAGAATGTTTTTATTACCAGAAATAGTGGGAACATCATTAACTTGCATTTCGTATGTAACAGGTCAGAGTCTTAAAGTCAGAGGCAAAATCTGAATTGCTTAATGAAATGGAGTTTTTTGATTCACAGGTTCTTAAAATAATTGAAAGCAGGCTAATTATGAGGTTCCAATTCAAGGTCCTGGAAGCCAGCCTTCCTGAGTGGGTATGAAAGACGACTGGTTCTCTCATTTGGCAGTCAGGCACTTATCATTTATCACGTACATCCTATGTCCCAGGCACTGTACTATGAACTATGAATACCTCATTGCAAAGTTATGGTCCAAGTCTTCAACGAAGTCAGTGTCCATTTGGCTGTAGAGTGGGTATGAAAGACGACTGGTTCTCTCATTTGGCAGTCAGGCACTTATCATTTATCACGTACATCCTATGTCCCAGGCACTGTACTATGAACTATGAATACCTCATTGCAAAGTTATGGTCCAAGTCTTCAACGAAGTCAGTGTCCATTTGGCTGTAGTGGAAAAACAACAGGTATATATGGAATCTCAGATTTGGATTTAATTAAGAAGTTGTTGAATCCGTGCTTGGGCACACCAGCTGTATGACGTTATGCAAATTTCTTAACCTTCCTAAGCCATTATTTCCTCATACATAAAGTGGGTAAAATAATACATTTATATTGCGTTCCTTATGAGAATTCAATTAAGTAACAAAAATTAAATCTGAGCACTGGGACTTCCATGGTGGCACAGTGCATAAGACTCCGTGCCCCCAGTGCAGGGGACCTGGGTTCCATCCCTGGTCAAGGAACTAGATCCCGCATGCATGCCGCTACTAAGAGTTTGCATGCCGCAACTAAAGAGCTGGTGAGAGGCAGCTAAGGAGCCCACCTGCTGCAACTAAGACCCAGTGCAACCAAATAGATAAATAAATAAAATAAATAAATGAAATGTAACATAAGAAAGCTTTCCAGAAACAAAAATATTTTTTAAAACAATCTGAGCATTCAATAAATGGGGCTTGCTGTAGCTATAAAAACAACAACAATTTAAATTATTTTTTAGGGCATGATGATAACTTGGGGCTTGTATATGACACAGTTGGCGCATAAGAAAAGAGCATTTAAATCTGCCCTTGGGAATTCTCTAGTGGCCCAGTGGTTAGGACTCTGCGCTTTCAGTGCCGAGGGCCTGGGTTCAGTCTCTGGTCAGGGAACTAAGATCCCACAAGCCACGCAGCACAGCCAAAAAAAAAGAAATTCTCCCCTAGATGAGGCAGGGCCAATCTCAATAGAGGAAGTAGTAAATGAGTTGAGACTTGGTTCCCGTGAAAGAGGGCCACCTCTATCTGAAATTCAGAAGAATGAGAGCATGTGTTTAGTATATAAAAGTCAGGAAGAGGGCATGGTAAGAGTTAAGATAGCAAAGGTAGAAGCTACATCATGAACATTCTCATATGTCATGCTAAGGCATATATCAATTACTCTGTATTCACTGGGGAACAATGGAAAGATATTGAATGGGGGACTGATGTGATTAGATTTGTGTTTTAATGTTCACTCTCGGGCTGATGTTGAAACTAGATTGTGGGAAGATGGAATGTGGGCCGAGTCCAGTAAAGACAAAGAAGATGGGCAGATAAAAGCGACATTCAGATTCATTAGAACTTGGTGATTAGTTGGAACGTGGAGGTTGGGGAGAGGTAGAGATCTCGGATGGGACCAAGTTTCTGGCTTAGTAATTGGACCATTCCTGGATCTGACATGGGCCAGTCTCTCTCTAGCTTTTTGATTTCTTTGCCTGGAATATTTTGTATTTCCTCTTTGCTTTCGCATAACTTTCACTAGACCAATTCCTACTCACTGGATCTGTTGACTTCATTCAGAAGTTCTTCCTGAGCCACCAAGTTTATTTTAGTAGTTTCTCTAATGGACATCTCATAGGTCCTCAAACTTCTGTATAGCACCATATTGAAATAGAATGACTCTCATTAAATTGCAGGTACTCAACTCACTTTTTTACAGATTTAAAAATCAACTGTAGGTTGAGTTACAATTTACATGCAATAAAATCACCCATTTTAAGTATATATTTCAATGCATTTTGAAATAATACATACATATATACAGGAATCTCCCCTTATCTTCCGTTTCTCTTTCTGTGGTTTCAGTTACCCTCAGTCAACCGTGGTTCAAATATATTAAATGGAAAATCCCCAAAATAAACAATTCATAAGTTTTAAATTATGTGCCACTCTGAGTAGAGTGATGAAATCTATCACCATCATGCCCAGCCCCGCCTGCCCCTATTGCCTGGGATCCCCAACCATGACATCATCTGCTCCTGACATCCAACCATCCACGTTGTCATGGCTTCATGATCCAGGATCACCTAAAGCAGATGATCCTCCTGATGTATTGTCAGAAGGTCAGTGGTGGCCTAACACTACGTCACAATGCCCCATCATTCACCTCATTTCATCTCATCTGTAAACATTTTATCATCTCACGTCATCACAAAAATAAGGGTCAGTAAGTACAGTACAATAAGATATTTTAAGGGAGAGAAGGAAACCACATTCACATTAACTTTTATCCTTGTATATTGATATAATTGTTCTATTTTATTATTGTTAATCTCTTACTGTGCCTAATTTATAAATTAAACTTTATCATAGGCATGTATGTATAGGGTAAAACATGGTATATATAGGGTTCAGTACTATCTGTGGCTTCAGGCATCCACTGGGAGGTCTTGGAATGTATCCCCTGTGGATGTGTATATGTGTGTGGGTGTGTGAGTGTGTTTTAATTGCCTCCTGTGCACCCCATTGGTGAGGGAGGTATTCCTACCCTAGGGTTATGGGGATGGCTGAACACATGACACCTGACACTGGGCAGACATGATCAATAACAGTTTATTGGTCACATACACTCACAGCTCAACAGAAGAGGGCACTGCACGCTACATGGGGGGTTGCACTTGGGAACTGAGTGAGCAAGCAGGGGCTATGCGAGGCAGGCTTTGTAGTATCAAGAGTATTCAGTGACCCTGTTTTCCCTGGGGAGGATGTGATTGGCTTGTTTGAATAATTCCTCACGCTGCTGGTAAACTGAAACCCTCTACTCAGGGATAAGCAAGAATTGCACCTGGTCTCTGAGATCAGAGGAGTTGATTATCTGGGGGACCCTCTCCGTGGGAGCAGAGTAGGGAGGGGAACTTATGGCTAGGGCATTTGAGGTCCTCCTGGTTTCCCCAGGTCAAGGGAGTGCACAATATTGGGCCTTAAACAACAGTATGGAAATATGTATGTACATATGTATATGTGTGTGAACACCACCACAATCCAGATATAGAACATTTCTGTCACCTCAAAATGTTTGCTTGTACCACTTTGCAACCAGTCACACCCCTAGTCCAAGCAATCTAGCACTGTAGATTAGATTTTCCTATTCCAGGACTTCACATAAATGGAATGATACAGTATGTACCATTTTATGCCTGGCTTCCTTCACTTCAGCATAATGCTTTAATATTCACCCACGTTATAGAATGCATCAGTAGTTCATTCCTCATTATTGCTAAATAGTAGTCCAATGTATGGATATACCAAATTTGTTTTACTTATTAATCTGTTTGATGAAAATGTGGGTAGTTTCTACTTTTAGGCTATTGTGAATAAAGACTTTATGAAAGTAATTATGCAAGTCTTTATTGGGGCATATGTTTTTATTTCGAGGACAAATACCTACGAGTGGAATTTCTAAGATATATGGCTGGTGTATATTTAACTTTATAAGAAACTGCCAAACTGTTTTCC